GTATACACCAGGGTCCCGTATACACCAGCATCCGCTCGCCAATGCAAGTTCTGATGGAGGACCGGAAGAAGTGTCGGTGTACAGAGTTCGATTACCTAGTTGACCTGTCTTTTACACCGCCTGCCCCTCTGCACGATCAGCTGGAAGCTGGACTGTAGAGAGAGCGGGAGTTTGCAATTGTTCGAGCGTCCGGTTTTCCGCAAGGGTTCAGGGCCACGCTCGGCTCCATTCGGGACGCCGCTGGGCCAAAACCTCGTCAGCTCACCCACTTCCAAAATTATATAATCAAGAGCTGTGGATGCAATGGACTGTGGACGAATGATCGTGCGGTGCGCGCGGAGTACTTGTGTGATGGTGCGCGCGCGTGTGGAGCCATTGGCACAGTCCACCACCGGCTCGACCCATGTTCCCTCCAGCATGTAGTCGAGGCGCGCGCGGCGTCGGAGGTGACAGATTCCTTCCTCCACTCTGCGCGCGAGAATCCTGATGCCCTTATTTCCACCTGAGGAGTGCACGTTTGCGAAGACAGCTCGCTTCCTTGCCCGCCCATGTCGTCGGAGGTGCTTATCTACGACGGGCAAGGAGACGAGCTCGACATGAAACCAGAGACTATCGCCAATTTGACCTCCCAGGCCCCGCTGCGCCTCGCCTCGGACGGGTCTAGCACGAGACCTTGGATCCGTCCTTTGCAGCGCGCGCCTGGGTTGTTGTCCTGTGCCTCGATATTGGCGTGGACCCCGTGGCGGTCGTTCAGGCACCGCCCGAGGGGTTCTGCTTCAGACGCCAGCCATGGCTGGGCACTGCGGCATAACTATTGCGAAGGCCTGACGGCCGGTGCCGCCGACCCTGTTCGCAATGCGCAGCAAGAGGCACGGGCTGTGGGATGGTTTGGGGGAACGGGGAGAAGGACGAGAAGGTGGGGGAGGGAGGTGTCGTACCTGACCCGGGACTTCCCCGGGACTCCCCCGGGACCCCCCCCGGGACCTCCTCTCCCCCCCCCGTCGGGGAAGGGAAAGGGAAGGGGCTTCCCTTCGACTCAATGACGACGTTGCTCAAGGTCGGTACGGGGGGGGGGCGTCGTATCTGACTCGGGGGGAGGGTCGCTACCCCCCCCCCGCTAACCCCCCCCCCCCCTCCCGGCGGGGGAGGGATCAAAGGGAAGGGGCTTCCCTCCGACTCAATTACGAGGTTGCTCAAGGTCGGCTTGGCTGGAGCCCAGGGGAAGAGGAGTCCCAGGGGGGGGCGTCGTATCTGACCCGGGGGGGGGTCGACACCCCCCCCCCTCCCGGCGGGGGAGGGATCAAAGGGAAGGGGCTTCCCTTCGACTCAATTACGAGGTTGCTCAAGGTCGGCTTGGCAGGGGGTTGCTCAAGGTCGGCTTGGCTGGAGCCCAGGGGAAGAGGAGTCCCAGGGGGGGGCGTCGTATCTGACCCGGGGGGGGGGGTCGCTACCCCCCCCCCCCTCCCGGCGGGGGAGGGATCAAAGGGAAGGGGCTTCCCTTCGACTCAATTACGAGGTTGCTCAAGGTCGGCTTGGCTGGAGCCCAGGGGAAGAGGAGTCCCAGGGGGGGGCGTCGTATCTGACCCGGGGGGGGGGTCGCACCCCCCCCCCCTCCCGGCGGGGGAGGGATCAAAGGGAAGGGGCTTCCCTTCGACTCAATTACGAGGTTGCTCAAGGTCGGCTTGGCTGGAGCCCAGGGGAAGAGGAGTCCCAGGGGGGCGCGTCGTATCTGACCCGGGGGGGGGGTCGCTACCCCCCCCCCCTCCCGGCGGGGGAGGGATGAAAGGGAAGGGGCTTCCCTTCGACTCAATTACGAGGTTGCTCAAGGTCGGCTTGGCTGGGGCCCAGGGGAAGAGGTCTCCCAGGGAAAGGGAAGGACAGAGACGACGAGTACAAAGAATGACGGAGATGACGGCTCGAACGGAAAAGCCCCTCACACACGCCGACAGGGTCGGCGGATTTGCGGCCAGATAGCGACGCGCCCGACTGAGCTCGGAGTTGATTGTCTGTTTGCCATCAGATTGCGCCAAAAAGACGTGACTGCTCAGCTTTCCCTCTCCAGCAAATTTGCTGGGGCGCGCGCTTTCGCGCATCAGCCAGGAAGGAGGGCATTTGTTTATGATTTACGACACGTCAAAGCCCACCGAGACGAGGCCGAGTTCAGAGCCTCGAGGGCACAGACAGGGTTTCTGCTGTTGCGAATGCTGCTGCCGACCGCTGCGCAAAATATGGTCTGCGCATGCACCCTGCTCCTCCGCCAGAGTGCATGCAAGAGTTATGTCTCGCGGGAGGGCGAGCAGGATATTGCATCAAGTTCGCAGCAAAAGTGTTCCCGCGTTTTGACAATGATGTTCGGTGGGCAAGGTCCCGTACCTCACCGCAGCAGCAGGATCACGGCGACAAGTGTCGCGGCATGGTTGGAGAAAGAGCGAGCTGGGGCTTCAGCGTGGGCTTTGTCTCCTAGTTGCAAAAGGCAGCCTCGACACCGTCCCGATGCATTGTTGCAGAGGACTGCCGCCTTTCCTCCGTGGTCAGCTCCGTGATCCCATGGGGCTGGACTTGGTCGGCGACCTGGCGTTCTATTGGAGTCGTGTCGGCCTTCGTCCAAGGAGCAGGTCCTTTGCGTGGTCCCCGGGGGTGGTTAAAAGCTCGGCCGACCGTGCGAGGCTCCGTCACGGAAAGGTTTAGAGATTTTGTCTGAGCGCAGGAAGGGGAATTGCCCGAACCCCGGGGTTCGGGCAAACATCGACCGCGACGTGCCGCTCGATAGGCTTGACCTCCCCGTCGCCCATCCTGCTCCAGACGCTCCGACCGTCGTGGGGGCCTCACATTTGAGTTCGGACGCGTTCCCCTCCTACGAGCAGCGTGCGTCATCTTTGCATGAGAGGATACGCGGCAAGGAACATGCCAAAGCGGCCGCTTCCCGAAGTTACGTTTTGTCGGTGTTGACTGGGCCTTTTTAGTTTGATTTGTTCGTGCCGCGCACTCCCTTTCGTACCGTCCGTTCCGTTCCGTTCCCTGCTCTTCACCTCTGGATTCGGTTGTGCGCTCTTGGGTTCAAAAAACCGTTCGGGCCATGTGGGGTTGTCCGCACAGCGCCGTTGCCCCGTCGTTTCATCCTCCCCCTCGCTTCTCCCCCCTCCCGTCTCTCTCTCTCTCTCTTTGTTATCTCTCTCCCTTTCTCGCTCTCTCCCTCTCTGCGAAGGGGCAGTTGCATTAAACAGCAGCACCACCACGGCCAACGGCAGCAACAATCATGGTAAAACTGCTCGCTCTTATCTGCTAGGGTGCCAGCCAGCACGTGTATCTCAAACCCTCGATACCCGCCTTCTTTGTCTTCGATGGTGCCCCCTTTGGGGTCGATCTTCCTTACCTGCAGCATGCATATCGGGCAGCCCCTACGGCGGGGGAGGAGGAGGACGGATCGAAGGAAGGGACACGGGGGCGGAAACATTGAGGCATTGAGGATGTCGCTGCCGCTGCTGAGGCCGCCGCTGCGACGCCGACGCCTCCGTTATGACACCGGCGACGATGTCTCTGGCTCTGATGCGATCTCCAGGGGGCAGCTAACTCCTTGCTTGATCGTGTCTGCCCTTCCCTGCTGCGCGCTGCTACCTGCTGCTTGTTGCTGCTGCTTGCTGGTGCCTGATTTCAGCGTAGTGATTACCAATGCACGCCCAGACGAAACAATACTGGACACAAAAGAGCCCTTGTTGCGAGGCAAACCTCGGAATGATGAAACAACGAACGTTCCCTCGGGCTGGCGTCGGAAACGATCAATAAACGCATCGCCACAGAGACCTGGAAACTACTAAAAACGGCAGCCGGAAACAATTGAAAGACGAGTTGTTGAACGAAAGATGGAAACTATAAAAGCACGCCTTGGGCGCTTCCGAGGCACACGGAGCCGAGCGCCTCCACCAGGATCATCTCGGGCGGGACATCCCAAACACTAGGCGGCCGCAGCGGACAGCAGGGAGCAACATCACGTCAGAGCCCTCCTCGAAGTCGGCGCACCTCCAGCCGAGGTTCCCCTTGGGCCTGCTTGAGACCAGGATCGCCAAACCTCTTTTTATACCAGGCATCCAACAGGCATTTCGATGTGTCTGTCCCGACGTATTGTCGGCATTCTGGCGGGTCCTAGAGGGTCAGGCGGACTGAGCAGCAGCCCTCCCAGAGAGTTAAGTAATCTTTGGTTGCGGGGTGAGGTTCCCGTTTGCCGTGGCAGGATTGCGTCTCGAGGGTAATCGATCACTTGGAGCCTGGCGCACCGCGGTCCGCTGCTCTTGCACAGGCTTGCGGCAAGTTCGCGCCGGGTCGACAAAGCGGCGATCCCGGCGTGGGCGTTCAAGGCTGCATGTTGCCAGTGGCCCCGAACTTGCCGACGTTCAACGATCCGCGCTATCGGAAAGCCCTTCGATCGTTCAAGGTTGAGCTATCCACGCAGTATCAGAAGCCAGCGCTCCAGTCGTCACGGCACGAAGCTACTGCGCGTTGCCACGCTTGCTTGTGGCGGGGGGAGTGGGGCAGGCCTGGCCCACCAGAGGTGCCAGGAAGGAGAGCCTCCTGCAGGAACAGGCGGGACTATCTGCCTCGGCTCCTCCTGGAAGGCGAGGGCAGAGCTGGAGACTCTCTTTTTTGAGGGTCCCCCGATAATGCGGGGGCGGCAAAGAGGGGGGTGATGACTAGGGGGGGGCGGATATCATGGCGGGGGCCATGATATCTCCCCAGATTTCATGGCGCCTCTTCTTGTTTCCTTCTGTCCCCCCCCCCCTCCTCTCAAAAGGTTAGGTTATCGACTGGCACCTCCCCCCCTCCTCTCAAAAGGTTCGGTTATCGACTGGCACCTCCCCCCCTCCTCCCCCATCCATCGGAGAACCTGTGCCATCGCCGAACAATTAGAGACGTGAGATCCTGGACGTCAGATCTCGGTGCCGTCTGGCTGCAGGCCTTCAGCTGCTGAGGGTGTTGGCTCGCGACCCGAGCCCAGTAACGCCGAG